TCAGCTACGAGGAGAGGGCGTGCGAGGGTGGGCGGTTCGCGGTGGTGGAGGTGGCGGGGAAGCCCTTCGACGAAGCCTCGAAGGAAGGGGCAGTCAAGCTCCTCAAGTACGTCGGGGGAACCAATGACAAGGGTGAGAGATGCTCCCCATGCTGCGAGGCTTGGCATGTTTGGGGTTGACCACCACTAGCAGAGACTTGGTGAAAGCCAGATGGATGGAGGCAACGGCATGGAGGGCTTGGTCATGGGGGTGGCCCTTCGCTGGGAAAAACAAACTTGCCACAGGTCAAAGCCTTCCCAGCCAAGTCATGCTAAGAGTCCACTCCTAACCCATCCCAGTTTCAGGGTAAAAGTCTCAGAAATGGTTTGTTTAATCAGGAATGGGTTACCTTGCAGCTGGGACAGTGAGAGGACAGGCTTATGTATCCTTATCGCAGCTCCCTGGGTGAACAGTAGCTGATGAATTCCAGGGTAACTGGGGCGCTTCAGTTCTGTGATGTGCCCTTGTAGGCAGTGAAATAACTTTGATGACCTTGATATTTTATTGTATACTCTGACTATTTTTATTCATGAAAGAGTAATGAACAATGAGCTTGGTTTTTAATGGTTCTTCATAATGTTTTATAATGGTACTTCCAGGTGATTGCTTCTAATTCTCAACCTACTAAAGTATGTGCATCAGTAATCATCCATAGCAGGAGAAGAAGACCACAGAGTAGTTCTGAGGCATATATATTTTTTCTCTCACACCTTTCCCAGGCTTCTGGTAGAGGGAGTTGTATAGTCCATATGGGCATAGGAGCTGGATGCAGAGGGAAGTGGCATTTGGAGCAGCATGTTTTGGAAAGGTGGTGATCACTGTTGCTGTAGGAGAAGGAGTACCTTCTATAAAGCGGCACAGAGAAGATATAGTATCAAAGCATACAAATAAATGAGAAAGATGGCTTGATTTCAGCAGTTTCTGTGGCTGTCTGATCCTGAGGGTTGGAGGTTCCCTACTGCTGAAAGAAGAGGAGGGAAGAAAAATGTACTTCAGTGCCATGTGGTACCCCTCAGCAATAACTAGCAGAAAAGTAGTGTGCTGTTCCTTGAGTGGTGGACAGCATGGACACTACTGCTGAAAGCCAGAACAGCTCTTTAGTTTTGGGGCACTGGAACTGGTAGGATGCCTGGAAGCATTTGGAAGGGTTTAGAGAAAGCTCCTGTGAACTCACCACTAAATGCAGATGATAATTATTTAAATACTGAGATAGCTCTAAATGTGCCACTGACCCAAAATGATAGGCCCTGTTGTGTTAGAGGTGGTTTGTCAGAAGAACAGAGTGTCTTCTCAGTGGCATGAGATACATACGTGAGAGCCACAAAAACAGGACAATTAATGAAAAGCCATTCAGAGATCACCTGGGGCCCTTATCTCCCAGAGTCCCTGTGTAGTCAGTGAAGAGAGAAATTTGGCCCAAGCCGAAGCTTAATGTGGCTGTTCTGCATGCTCCAGAGTACCCCACTCTCTCGACTGACTATGCAGGTAGTTTAGGATGAGGAGCCTTCCTAAATTAAAATAAGCTTTTGTGAATCCCCTGTTAATGCTATGAGTTCCTGAGAACCTAGACTTCTTTGGTAATTTCTGTGTGTCTCTTTCAGGGGTTGGAATGGGCATGACTGCTCCTGTCTCCATCACTGCTTTTCCTGCGGAAGATGGCTCCCTACAGCAGAAAGTGAAAGTCTCTCTGCGGATTCCAAGCCAGTTTCAAGCCAACCCTCCTTGTCCTAGTGATGAAAGCATTAAGATTGAAGAGAGACAGGGGATGACCATTTACTCCATGTAAGGAATTCATCCTGGGATTTCTAGTCCCAAGTGCCAAGGTCTGTAGCGTGCTCTGAAGAGCACCATTGGTTTTACCAGGTGACTTGCTGGACAAGGAGACGGAGGGGTCTTTCTAGATTGAAGACAGGTGTTTTATGCCATTTCTTACCATTGGTCATGCCACACTCATTTGGAGTATGGAATTTTTTTCACTGGGAAAACAACTGCAAAGGTTAGCCCTGAAAGGCTTTTTGTCTTGCCTGGGGAGGTGAAGAGCAGGGGAGGGTGAATATGAAGGTACTGAGTCATTCCTAATCTCTGAAAACTGTTGTTTTCCTCACTTTTTGGGATCAAGATAGTTCTTAGTCATCAAGAATGTCCTTTGGTGTGGTTCACATCAAACTACAGGTGTCAGTTGAAGCCTCATTTAGATGGACTCATGCCAGTGTCTATCATGGAAACAAGCAGCCATTGCATTGCTTTAAATCACCTTTGAATATATTTGGCTGTTGACCGGCAAGCTGGACACTAACATTACAGTAGCAATAAGCTCTTCACCCTGTTTTTAACCCCTTGAGTGTTCTCCTGCCTCCTTGTTTGAGCTGTTTTGGCTGACTGAGCTGTCTGGCACCTCCCTGCCCATGACTGCCTGGCCTTTGCTGCAAGTGAGGCTACTTCTGCAAGAACAGGTTGTTTTGTCTCAAACCTTGGCTCTCAAGCAGATCTGTGAGGTGCAGGCTGATGTGGAAACAGTTCCTGTTGGTGTGAGGTCAACATAAAACAGACCATTTCCAGCCCACCCCTTTTAAATAGCATTGTGGGCTGTAATTGTTAACACTGCTGTTCCCACCCTGCCTTTTTCTGGGCTAGCTAGAGTTTGGCTTCCCTTCATGATCTGGCTTCCAGCAGATGGTTGTTCACACCACCATGAACATGGTTGTTGGCAGCATTGGTGTAAGGACTGTGGGCTGAGCTGACTTGGAGATAACTGTGCTCTGGGAAGCTGTTCCTCTGATACGACGTTGATTCGAAGGGCAAAGTCATTCTGCTGACTGATATATGTGGGTGTGTTTGGGATCTGTCAATGACTGACTGCACCCTGGCTGTGTAACCCTTGAGACTTTATCATAGACAAAATGTGCTGGTTCATAAAGGACAGCGCCTGCACAAGTGCATGTTGATGGGACCTGGATCAAAATACGTGGCTAAATATATTGTGGCTATGTGTTATTATCTCTCTCTTCCTTTCTGTGCTCTGCCAGGACTGCTCAGCACCTCACCTCTCAGTGTTTGGTTTCTTTGCAGGCAGTTTGGTGGCTATGCCAAAGAGGTGGATTACGTGAACTATGCTGCCAAGCTGAAGTCTGCTCTGGGGAGTGAAGCTGCATACCACAAGGATTTCTACTTCTGTAATGGTTATGACCCCCCTATGAAGCCTTATGGGAGACGCAATGAGGTCTGGTTTGTGAAAGAGTGAGCATCTGGCTCCCAGTGGTGCTGGCTTGCACTGATAACCTCCCCATGCTATGTCCCTGTCCTCTTCAAAATAAACTAACAATTTGTCAGAGGCAGAAAACCATCCTTTCCTTCCTCCACACCTATTCCTTGGTCTTTACGGACCAACCATTTTAGAAGAACACTGCAGAGCCCCCTGATGATCCTGGTCCTTTGTCCCAGACCAAGTCCTCAACCACACAGACTCTCATGATCTCTTGGTGGCTTGCTTTTATCTCCCTCATGCTCCCAGACTTCAATGCTGAGACAGTCAAAAGTACTTAATTAGCAAGACTGGTGCCTGACAGGAGTCACATCCAAGTGCTGGCAGACTATTAGTCTCACCTGAGACAGGCAAGGGACCATGATGAAAGTGCATACAGGGACTTTTTTTATCTTCTTGAGCTTGCTGCAGCTGTAAAATGCTGCTTTTATCTGTGCTATTCCATAAGCAATCTAAAGGGACATGGGCATTGCTACCAACACAGCACAGTGAAAATAAGCATCCTTTATATTGTCTCCTAGTGTGCAGAAGAGCAACGTTTCTGTCATCTGACTGAGAAATGTCATTTAGAGGAAAATCCATGTTTCTGTTTGCAGCTGTCCTTCTGTTTGAGGTAGGACATTTTGGGGTGTGTTATGTCTTGATCTTGACTAGCAGCTGGACAATATGATGTGGAGACTTCAACAAGATCATTTCATCACCTTCCTGTTACTTGTGTGTAACATTTATTTGAAACTAGCCTATACAAGGGCCAAAGTCGAAATGTGTGTGGTAATCTAATTGAATCAGAAAAATACAGGCTGCAAAAAAGCAAGAGCCTGTTACTTGGGATCTGAGGGTGCATTTGAAGAATGTTGAGCATCTAGTGGAACTACTGTGGTGCAAATCTTTAAAAAACACCTTTTCTTCTTAAATGGTGTCCGTTTCTGAAGGGCTACTCAGAGCAGCTGTCCCCTTTAAAGGAGGAGGAAAACCTGGCTGTTCGTAAAAACAAGGATTTACATCAATTAGTGAGTAGCCTTTTGGAAACTTCAAATACAATAGTAAGGGCGGGTCTTGTTTGACTGGCAGTGTTTAACTGTTAGGCATCAAACCAGCATTTCACCTGTCAGCTCTGCCAGGGAGGCAACAGGATGCCTGCAGTGGGAACTCGCTCACACACCACGCTACTCTGGGTACCTGTATAATTTGTTAACCTCCACTAAAACAGGTGTGCTCCTCTGATGCTTAAATGCCTCAGAGTTCAGGCACTTTCCAAAAGCCATTTTGCCCCTGGAGCTGAAAGAGATTTGTCAGATGGCATCTTGGGTTCTGGCCGGTCAGGTAGTTTGACATGTGCCTGCTTTCTGAGAACAAATCTCAGCAATAAAAGGAGAAACCCTAAGGGTCTAATGTGCTTTCCTTGTCTCTCTTGCTGAGCCATGTAAGAGCTTTGCTGTGGATCTAACAAAAGAGTTTCAGTCACCTGTGTGCAAAAGCAGCTCATTAGGATGGGTAGAAAGACCAGATAACATTTAAGTTTCAAGAAAACAAGGGAAGAGCTATTGGCCGCAGTTAATGATTGCAGTGCAGGGGAGGAAGAATCAAAAGGGAAATCAAGGCAGACAAAGAGTTAAGCCTTTGAAGGAGTTTTTTAAGGAGCAAAGGCCCTTCTATGGCTGTGCCCGAATCCAGAGGAACCTATTCATGTCCCAGATTATTTTTACCCATGTGGGTGGGGAATGGAGAAGTGCAATGCTGCCTGGTTTATGCGTTCTTGGGTTTATTTTGGAATTTGTCTGTAGACTGTGGATACAGTCCTTTCTGGCTACAGGTGGTGAATGTCCTGCAATGATCAAAATCCTGGAATTTCTCAAAATTTATCCTGTGAAATGTCAGATGTTAGGAAGACCAATAATAAACCTGGTATGAACATAGCTGCACATGTCAGCAGCATGGGTTTTTTTGTAGTGTGCGTACA